CTACAAAATGACCTCTAACAGGCCACTGGTGTGAATGTCTCTGACCAAACAATCAGAAACAGACTCCACGAGGGTGGCCTGAGGGCCCGATGTCCTCCTGTGCTCACTGCCTGGCACCGTGGACCTCCATTGGCATTTGCCACAGAACACTTGAATTGGCAAGTCCGCCACTGGCGCCCTGTGCTTTTCACAGATGAGAGCAGGTTCACCCTGAACACATGTGACAGACATGAAAGGGTCTGGAGAAGCCTTGGAGAACGTTCTGCTGCCTGTAACATCGTTCAGCATGACCGGTTTGGTGGTGGGTCAGTGATGGTCTGGAGAGGCATATCCATGGAGGGACGCACAGACCTATACAGGCTAGACAACGCCACCCTGACTGCCATTAGGTATCGGGATGAAATCCTTGCACCCATTGACAGACCCTATGCTGGTGCAGTGGGTCCTGGGTTCCTCCTGGTGCACAACAATGCCGGCCTCATGTGGCGAGAGTATGCAGGCAGTTCCTGGAGGATGAAGGAATTGATACCATTGATTGGCCCCCACGTTTGCCTGACCGAAATCCAATAAAACACCTCTGGGACATTATGTTTCCATCCATCCGACGCCGCCAGGTTGCACCTTAGACTGTCCAGGAGCTCAGTGATACCCTGATCCAGATGAGGGAGGAGATACCCCAGGACGCCATCCGTTGTCTCATTAGGAGCGTGCCCCGACGTAGTCAGGCATGCATACACGCACGTGGGGGCCATACAACTGACTGAATACCATTTTGAGTCGCTGCAATGAAATCAGCAAAATGGACTAACCTGCCGCATCATTTTTTCACTGTAATCTTTGGAGTGTCTTTGAATTCAGCCCTCTGCAGGTTGATAATTTTCATTTCCATCAAATGATGTGGCATCCTTTTGTTCCTAACACATCACCCAGTCCATATCAGGATAAATAAACAAATAAACCATTGAGATCTGATGTGTTTTCAAAGTGTTCCTTTAATTTCTTTGAGCAGTGTATAAGCTTTATCAAGCAGAACCAGGCTCAGTGTGAACCTGGTTCTGCTGGAGGTTTCTTCCTGTTCAAAGGGAGTTTTTCCTCTCCACTGTCGCTTCAAGCATTCTTAGTGTGATCTGGTGAACTGTAAAGTGCCTTGAGATGACTTGTGTTGTGAATTGGCACTCTAGAAATAAACTGAATAGAACTGAATTGAAAAGTCAACTCAACTTGCACTTGGAGATTAAAGTTTTGTGTCTTTACACCTTTTCAATTTTTATATGACATTTATTTTAACCAATTAGGCAAGTTTTTTATCCATTGGGTTAAGCTTATCTTTAGACGTCCATGCTTTATTATTTTTTAATCCAACCATTCTGATCCTGATCCTTTTAATAAAGCATCATGTTTCCTCATGATGTGAGCAGAACTTAAATTCAGCATTAAATGTGCGGTATAGGGCCTTAATGCCCAAATTAAAACTCTGTCATGATCCTGGTGCTGGTGGCCGGCCTAAATGCTCATTCCACTCACCTGTTTAACTCTGCCTGGTTTCTCATTACTGCTTATCAGATCCACCTGTTTCCAGCTCCTATATACGCTGCTTGTCTGATCATTGTTCTGATTATCTGACTGTGGACCTGTTTCTGGCTCGTGGATCCTGAGTTTTGCTTTGCCCCTGTCTGCTCTGTTAATCTGCTCTGTTCCGGACTGATTCCTGGATTCTACTGGTTTACTGAACTTGGACTGTTCTTCTGACCTTGGCTTGGATTCTCCCTCTGTACCCCACCGGCTCTCTGGTCTTCTGTTCTGTGAACTTGGTTCTGCTACGACTTCGGCTTTGGATATTATGACTGGGCGTTGGCTGTTATCAGCTCCGCTCATCACCCGGGGTTCGGAGGTCGGCGGAGGGACAATCTCCCCCTTAGATTCATCTCCTTCCTCTGGGAACGGACTGAACTCCAAACCAGGTCAGTGACTATTTTCTTTGTTGTTATCAGACCGTTATTTTCAGTCACTGACCTGAGTCTCCGTCTCTACAGAGGGCTTGGTTTATCCTCTCCAGCTGATTTGGAGTCGTACGCTGCAGTGGCGGCCGGCCCAAAGGGGGCGCTGGGGCACCGCCCTCCCTGATAAGAAGAGAGAAACCTAAAATATATTTTTACAAATTAACTCATAAATGTCAGTTTTACTCTCTAGAGTGTTTACCTATAAGCAAAATTTCCCTACCTACTGTCATTCATTTGTGGATTTCCACAGACAGACTCCTACCGTCTCTGTCTGGGGGCGCAGATCAGACTGCCCCACATGTGCAAAGAATCTGCCAATCATGTACTATTGCTAGGTGAATTTAATAATTTAATGGCCAATCAGCGTCTCAGAACTTTATGGTATTGGGGCGCTGAAAATACTGCGCTTTAACAGGCTTCTGCACCA